CCAGAGAGAAATATAAGAAACCACAGAGAAAAATTTTTCCATGCTATATTAGAATGCCACACTTAGGGTATGAGAATGGAATAAGCAACAAACATTAAACCTCTTTCAGATTGTCATATTCAACAATTGCTCCGACTCCCAAGATTTCATGCACTTAGTACTCTTCCCTAATTTTAATTTGGGACAAATATTCAAGCCTCATAAACCTTGATTGGCTCCATTAGCCAGTGAGTTTAACTGCCTACACAAGGAGGCCACTTACAGCATCAGAACAGGTAAGAACCTAATTATACTTGTAAGTTGCTAAGGAAAACACTGGATTCAGAAGCACAAACTTTGCGTGAAGTCTTGTATACAACTAAGTATTTACTCTGAAGCTGTGACTTTAGCTGGTGCAGAGAAAAAGTCAACAGCTTCTTCATATTTAAAGTATCTTCTTGAGCTAAGCAACAGTTTCACTGTTTAATTTTGCTTTTGTTTGTAATTATTTTCGCTTTTAATCTTATTTTAAAAGCAGAGAAGAGAGTAGCGGAAGATTTTAAGAGGGAGGAGTAAAGAAGAGGGGAAAAGTGAGAGGAAAGGAGAAGAGAGCAAGAAAAGCAAAAAGCAAAAAAAAAAAAAAAGATGAAGAAAGGGAGAGCTTGCAAGCTATGATTCACTTGTTCAAATACCCGCAAAAAGCAGTACTGAACCAGTCCAAAGCTAGAGCCAGGGACCCAAGGTAGATCTCCCACATGGGTGGCAGGGACCCAATCCATTGAGCTCCCTGTTTCTGACTGACATCATTTATTAAGGGTGATAACCTTATTACTGACAGTTCTGCAAACAATTATTTCCTAATTCAACATTTGCATTTTAAAAATAAATGTTGTAAAATGTATTAACTTATTTTTAGAATTTCAGTTGAAATGATAAAGTAACAAAGAGAAAGAAGTTTTTTACTTGCTGACAGTTTGCCTCCCAAATGTCTACAACATCCCAGGTTAGATCGGGCTAAAGCCAGGAGCTAGGAGCCCCACCCAAATTTACTATGTAGGTGGGAGGGATCCAGTATTTGCTTTTCCAGACCACAAGCAAGGAGCTGGATCAGAAGTGGACCAGCCAGGATGAGAAATGGCAGGTGGAATATTAGCCTATGAGCCACCACATCAAGCCCCTACTAATTTATTTTTAAGATTTATTTGCGTTACAGTGAAATAAACAGAGAAGTAAAGAAAGAAAGAAATTCAATCCATTGCTTCTACTCTCCAAATGGCAGTGGCAACACTAGTTGGACAAAACTCAAGCTGGGAGCAAGGAACTCCATCTGGATCTCCAAACTGGGTAGCAGATACCCAAACACTTTGGTTATTATCTACCACTTTCCTACGTTTGCCGTGAGATGGATCAAAAGTGGATTAGCCAAGACTCCACTCTAAACTCAGATATGTGATATTAGCGTCAAAAATAGTGGCTTATCCCACTGCACCACAACGCTGGCCTGATTTCCTCCAGATATTTCTATGAAGTTCTTTCCTCTGTACCTTAATCTTCTCCGTTTCTGCTAGCTTATACCCCACAGCACAAGTAAACATCTCTTTAATTGTACAACAAATCTACCCCCACCAAAATGCTTTCTTCCTGTGATCCAATCATCTTCACACCACCACTGGAGCTTCTTTTCTCTGAACCTCTTCAACAACTATGAGAAAACCATTTATAGCAATGGCTCCAGACTTGGAAGACAAAATCAGCCATGTCTATTATATGTATCCATTTACAATTCTTGCATTTCTAGCCAGATAACTGAATTCAGAATTGTCCATGGGTTTAAAAATGCACTGACAAAAATAATACAGAAATGGAATTGACTCTGGCAGAATTAGAGGATTCTCTAGGAAACTTGGAGAATAATGGAAATTTTTCAAAGACAATAAGGTCAGTAGAGCAAAACATGGAGGCTATCTTACCTTCAACTCTAATACAAACATTTTTGAGGAATAAAGGCAGGATATGAAAAGCAAACAAAAACCAAATGACCTAATTATTCGTAGATGTCTACCATCAGGATGCTCTCCAAACAAAATGAGTAAAAATCAAAATCCAGACTAAACCAAACCCAAGACCAAAACAGTTAAACCCACAGTTCTTGAGTGTATCTAGGCATTTAGATCCTGAATCTCCTTGGACAATCTTACAAAAATCAGCATTTCTTTTTATTATCCCAGACAACCTAAATAAAGTCTCCAGTATTTCGCAGCTCTCTCAATTTTTCTCTTGCAAAACACTGTCCCCGTATCAATAGTTATTTAGTAAAGATTAGATTTCAAATCTCCACACCTACCAAGTTATTGATTTAAAAAAAAATGGCACGAATATGACTCCTTCAACATCTCATAGCTGAACCACTCTTATCACTGCCTCTCCTATGGGGAGTCCATGTCATGTCCTGCAACTTTTGGTGCTAACATCCTTTGAATCACTCACACTCGCAGGTGAATCATCCAGTCAACACAATCCAGAATTGTACCACACAAAATATTTTACAAGGGACTAACTTCACGGGTTGGATAAATTAAATCTTGAAAATATCCATAATAACTAAAAACATGTAATTATTTTCCATCAAATTATCACATTTTTACATAATTAGAGAAACATAAAATTCATATGTAACCACAAGAGATCTAAATAGTTAAAGAAATCATAAATTTTTATTAAAGCTAGAGGAACCAGTACCTAAATGTGAGAACGAGACCAAGATACTGCTACAAGAGAGCATGGGAACTTTTTCAAGAAAATTGATACAGGCAATGACTTTTTAGGTAAGTACTAAAACTACTCAGCTTCTAATTCAGCATTTCTGCCCAGGAAGACAGCACAAGGTGGCCCAAGTACTTTGGCCACTGGCATTCACTTCAGAGTCTAGGATGGAGGAGTTCCTTGCTCTTGGTTTCCGCGTGGGCCACACTTTATTGCTATAAGCATTTGAACAGTGAACAAGTAGAAGGATTGTTCCCTTTCCCCAATCATTCCTTCAAATGAGTAAGTAATATTTGAAAAAAATACATATGTTGGAAATACACAGAAAACCCCATGCATAGAAGTAATGTGCAATAGTTCATCAAGTTAATAAATATAGTTTTTAGGAGTATATGAAATTAAGAACACTATAAATTCTAACAAGGAAGAGCCATTCCCTAAGAAGATGAGCAAAACAACCCCTCAGCCATGTTAACAATGCACAACACTGAAGAACCACCACTTAATTCAGAGATGAAAGAAACGGTTCCAACTTTCTGCTCTCCATGTGGGTCATGGCACTGTTGGCATAGGCAATAGTAGAGATTCCATTTTTTTTTTAATTTGGCCTGGGTATATTTAGAAGCTTAATGGGCAATCTGCCTTCATTCCTTAGTAGAGATGCATTATATTGATTTAATTCCAAGTACTCTGATCTCCATTACATCCTTCAATTTATACCTTTTGCTTTTTTGTTTTCAGATTCAATTATCTTTGCTGTAAATTTTACCTTTTTGCACTTTTTAATCATTTGTGTCCTTTTCAATAAATTCTTGTGACTCATTAATAGATTACTCAGGCTGGCACAGTAGCCGGTTCTTGTCCCTGTGGCCCACTTTCCATCCAGCTCCCTGTCTGGCCTGGCAAAGCAGCTGAGGATGGCCCAAGACCTTGAGACCCTGCACCAATGTGGGAGACCCAAAGGAAGCTCCGGGCTCCTGGCTTCGGATTGGCTCAGCTCAGTCTTAGAGAGTGATTCAATGGACAGAAGATCTTTCTGTCTCTCCTCCTTTCTGTATATCTGACTTTCCAATAAAAATAAAATAATCCTTAAAAAATAGATCATTCATATGAGACATTCCGATAGCAAGTACATAATTTTTGTAAATAGCCCTTTCAACACTGTTTTTGCTACATCTAATAAACATTGATATTCTTGTTTCTATTGGCACTTCTGTACTTCACGGGTCATGCGTAGCATCAATTTCTACAAGGTTTTTATTCTGTTTCATGCTTTAGTGATGTATTGGTCATTGTGAGGCATGTAGCTTCCAACTCCATGTTGATGTAGATTTTCTGTTTTTCTCCATGTTGTAGATCGTGATTTCTGTATTTCACTGGATTTATAATAGAGGTATAGCAGAAACTGACATGCCCACATGTGGAGAAATAGTGCCGTGTGCCTCTCTGCATTTAGACCAAGGGTGGACTTCCTGTGAAACTATTGAATATAGCCTGGCAGTAGGATGCTGGACTCTGACACTGTCCATGCCAACAATGTTGGTAAACACTGCAATATCAGGATGATGGACTTACGACTGATGAAGGACTGCCCATGGTAATACTAGGTGGGGACATGAAGAGGTAGATGGGAAATCCTGGAGCCTATGGAACTGTATCATAAAATGGTAGTAATAATAGTAATAATGTATGAGAATAGACAAGATGATTTGGGGACTGTTCTGTGTCCTGAATTATCTGACACTTAATTTTGGATATATTCTACAAAAGATGTCATTAATATCCAGTATCCTCTTGTGTGCAATTTGGAAAAATGCTTTTACTTTAAGATGTAATATTACAGACCAACACATCAATGTGGAGTCCATTTTGCAAGCTTATGCCTCCCTAATCTGGTTTCATTAATTACTACTACTGCCTGGAGTGCTCTCTAAATAAGCAATGCATTTTCACAGCATTTTGCAGATACAAATTCACTTACAAAATGGTTTTTATATAGCTCTTGGGAAAACCTAATTAACCTAGGCAATACTATTGATTTATTTACAATTTTGACTAATAAATTGCTTCACGAACCTCAAGATTACTGAGACCTGATAAATGCTGCTTACTGAAGAAGTAGGAGAGAAAAATGATCATCTTTTTCATCTTTGGAAAAATATAAATGACCTTACCTAATCCCTTCTCATTTCTCCATAGGCACATCTAATGTATATATTTAATATATATATATATTTAATATATAAAAGAATTACTATGTGCTCACTTTGGCAGCACCTATACTGAAACTGAATGATACGGAGAAGATTAGCATGGTCCCTGTGCAAGGATGACATGCAAATTTGTGACATATTCCGTATTTTTTATGACTCCTTATGAAGAACTATACTATTATAGCAACATGGGGAAAATCTGTTGGGGATGGGAGTTTGGGGGGGGGGATTCCAGTCTATACAAAATTGTACCACAAAATTCAAGAATTCAAAAAAACAACAAAAATGAATTACAGTTAGAGTACTGTAAAATTAAATTACAGAAAAGAACAAGTTGGCAGAATATGAATCCTGCTATGCTATGAATCCACCAGTGGTCCACAATCCTGTTGTTTCTAAACAATCTGTAATATATCTCAGGATGGAAACAGAATCTGTTTCATCAAGACAGAGTTGGGTAGGCACATTCAAACAATCTTTGCAGAAAATGAGTGTTTTTCCACCTTAAATCTCTCTAAAGCTAGTTCATTCATAAGCCATATATAAAAATATAACTTCTAATAAAATATTTGTTATCACAGTCAAGTAGCAAATTTTTTTTTATAAGTCTGGTTTTAGGGCACAAGGAAGACAAACAATGGGAGGTAGATCCTTGGGTTGCCTGGGAAATCCAGATCGAGAGACCAATTAGTATTTTATAGGTCATGCACAAAGAAAAAGAGAATGACTAAGAACAATTCAGATAAGGTTACAAAATGCCAGCGCTGCACATCTGTATGTGACGTAGAACTGCAGATCTAACAAGGAGAGCCACGAGCATTAAGAAGACAAAGAGTACAGAAAAGATGGGTTATGTGCCTTGGGCATTCTATCAATGTAAGGAAGATCTGTGTATTTGACTTCAATTTTCAAAACTTAATTTCACATTTGCTATTCATTCTGTTTTACTTGGAAAACATGCAAAACACTTTTAGAGTAAGAATATACTTCAGGAGTTGGCAATAATACACAAAACTTCATGTGTTTAAACATCAATTTGTTCATTGATGCCGACATGCATAAAAGGAAGACAGAGACACTGTGATGGTGTAGTTGGCATTCCTGTTTTTTTCACAGGACATGAAATCAAAGCTTCTCTTTTACTCTTTCAGCTTCTCTTGTACTGACATGTTCATGTACTGAACATGTGAGTGTTCGCTTATTGGAGAGACAAAAGCAGCTGACATGTCCCAGTATTTTCCTTCTTTCTCACTCTTCCACAAGCATGCTATGGGGAAATAGATAAAGATATAATTGTATTGCATTTGACTGTAATAACATGTATGAAATGAAAATGTAAACACAGTCTTAAAAGCTTTATTATGAGAGAAATATCATCCAGCATTTTAAGGTAAATATAAACATTCCAGAAACTCCTTTTAATATAAATTACTCTTTTGCTAACTCACGAATCATTGTCTTTTTAAATAGAAATTTATTTAACTTTATTGGAAAGGCAGATTTACAGAGACAAAGAGAGATAAAGATTGTCCATCTGCTGGTCCACTCCCCAAGTGGCCACAATGTGCAGAGCTAAGCCATCTGCCAGGTGCCTGGAGCTTCCTCCAGGTCTCCTAGGCAAAGTTCTGGGTCCCAAGGCTCTGGGCCATCCTATACTGCCTTCCCAGGCACTATGCACAGAGCTGGATGGGAAGCGGGGCAGTCAAGACACAAACAGGCACCCATACTCAGATCCAGTGCTGAAGGAGTAGGACTAGCCAACTGAGCCATTGTACAGAGCGCCTAATAATTGTCTTGTTTGATTCTTTAGTAATTTTATAAATCCGGTAAGAGAAAAAAATCATTTCTTTATTTTCCAGGAAAAATTTTTTTGTGACACTGAGTATTCTTTTTTTTTTTTTTTTTTTTTTTTTTTTTTTTTATTATTGTTGCTTACATTGTATTGTGTAGTACAGTTTCATAGGCGCTGGGGATTCCCCCCACCCCTCCCATACCCCTCCCCCCATGGTGGATTCCTCCACCTTGTTGCATAACCATAGTTCAAGTTCGGTTGAGATTCATTGCTTGCAGACACATGCCTAGCATAAAGTTCAGCGTCTTATTGTCCAGATAAGTTCAGTGGCCTCTTGGGGAGACCTTCTATGGTCTGAAAATAGGTCTAACAGAGTAAAGATCCAGTCAGTTAAAAGCCCCAACGAGGCCACAGTATCAATATACAACATTATGGAATTAATTGACATAGTATTGGGTAAACAATATGTTAAAAATAATGCAAGTTCCCTTCTTCGAAACATCTGGGTTGAGACAGTATCAATGACAGGTTCAAAAAAAAAAAAAATAACAAACAACCAAACAAAAAATTACAGGTTAAATCAAGGCAAACATGTGGTATCTAATCTTTTGGGATTCGCTCATTTCCCTTAGCATTATAGTTTCCAGTTGTACCCATTTAGCCACAAAGAACTGCATTTTGTTTTTTTTAATAGCTGAGTAGTATTCCATGGAGTAGATGAACCAAAGCTTTCTTATCCAATCTTCTGCTGATGGGCATTTCGGTTGCTTCCATGTTTTTGCAATTACTGATTGTGCTGCAATGAACATAGGGATGCATGTTGGTTTGTCGTAAAACAGGTGTTTTGGATATATTCCTAGGAGTGCTATTGCTGGGTCATATGGTATGCAGATTTTGAGTTGTTTGAGTGTTCTCCAGACTGATTTCCATAAAGGCTGTACCAATTTGCAGCTCCACCAGCAGTGGAGTAGGGTTCCCTTTTCCCCGCATCCTCGCCAGCAAGCGTCGTTGGTGTTCTTGTTTATGTGGGCCAATCTTACTGGTGTTAGGTGGTACCTCATCGATGTTTTAATTTGGATTTCCCTTATTGCTAGGGAGCTGGAACATTTTTTCATATGTTTGTTTGCCATTTGGACTTGTTCCTTTGTGAAATGTTTGCCCATTTCCCGTGCCCATTTCTTGAGTGGCTTGTTTGTTTTGGTTTTTTGGTTGTTTTGAAGTTCTTTATATATCCTGGAAATTAGCCCCCTATCGCCTATATCGTGTGCAAAGATCTTCTCCCACTCTGTGGGTTGCTTTTTTACTTTGTTGATTGTTTCCCTTGCTGTACAGAAGCTTCTTAGTTTGATGAGGTCCCATTTGTTTATTCTGTTCTCAACTGCTATTGCTTTTGGTGTCCTTCTTAGAAAGTCGGGACCTACTCCTAGGTCTTGCAGGGTATTTCCTACATTTTCTTGCAAGAGTTTGAAGGTTTCTGGATGTAGGTTTAGGTCTTTTATCCATGTAGATTGGATCTTAGTGTATGGTGATAGATGTGGGTCTATTTTTTTGTTTCTACAGGCTATCAGCCAGTTGTCCCAACAACATTTACCAAAGAGGCCTTCCCACTTGCTTGAGCTGTCATTGGTCTTTTTGTCAAAGATTAATTGGCTGTATTTGTGTGGGTTCCCTTTTGGTGCTTCTATTCTATTCCATTGATCTTCCTTTCTGTCTTTGTGCCAGTACCAGGCTGTTTTGATAACCACTGCTCTATAGTATGTCCAGAGGTCCGGGATTGTGATTCCCCCTGCTGACTTCTTATTTTTCAGGATGGTTCTAGCTATTCGTGGTTTTTTGTGCTTCCAGATGAACTTTTGAATCATTGTATCCAGTTCCGTGAAGAATGTTTTGGGCAATTTGATTGGAATTGCATTGAAAATGTATATTGCTTGTGGTAGTATAGACATTTTAATGATATTGATTTTGCCTATCCAGGAGCACGGGATGTTATTCCATCTTTTGAGGTTTTGTTCAATTTCCTTTTTAAATAGTTTGTAGTTTTCTTCGAATAGGTCTCCTACGCTTTTGGTTAGATTTATTCCCAAATACTTCATACTTCTCTCTGCTATTTTGAATGGTATCCTGTTGGTTAGATCTTCTTCCATCTTGGTGTTATTTGCGTACACTATGGCTGTTGATTTTCGTTCGTTAATTTTGTACCCCGCCACTCTGCCAAACTCTCGTATAAGTTCTAGCAGTTTCTGTATTGAGTCTCCTGGTTTTTCTATGTATAGGATTATGTCATCTGCATATAGTGAAAGCTTGACTTCTTCGTTTCCTATACGTATGCCTTTGATTTCTTTTTCTTGTCTTATGGCCTCTGCAAGTACCTCTAGGACTATGTTGAATAGCAGTGGTGATAGCGGGCACCCTTGTCTTGTTCCAGATCTCAGTGGGAAGGGTTCTAGCTTTTCTCCATTCAGTATGATACTGGCGTTGGGTTTTTCATAAATTGCTTTGATTATGTTGTGGATTTTCCCATCTATGCCTACTTTGGCTAGAGTTTTTAGCATGAAGAGGTGTTGGATTTTGTCGAAAGCTTTTTCTGCATCTATTGAAACTATTATGTGGTTCTTGTTTTGCTGTTTTTGGATATGGTTTATAACATTTATGGATTTCCGAATGTTGAACCATCCCTGCATCCCAGGGATGAATCCTACTTGATCCGGATGAATGATCTGTCTGATGATTTTTTGAATTCTATTGGCTAGGATTTTGTTGAGAATTTTAGCATCAATGTTCATCAGAGAAATAGGTCTGTAGTTTTCCTTCTCTGATGGTTCTCTGTCCGGTTTTGGGATTAAGGTGATGTTGGCTTCATAGAATGAGTTTGGGAGGGTTGCTTCCTCCTCTATTGTTTTGAAGAGCTTGTAGAGGATTGGGGTTAGTTCTGTTCGGAATGTTTTGTAGAATTCTGTAGTGAAGCCGTCTGGGCCTGGGCTTTTTTTCGTTGGGAGATCCTTGATGACTGTTTCAATCTCTACCTCGGTTATGGGTTTATTTAATTCTGCAGTTGCCTCCGGACTGAGTTTTGGTAAGTGGTGGGAGTCCAAGAACTTTTCTATTTCTTGGTGGTCCTCAAATTTGTGGGAGTACAGTTCTTTGTAGTAATTTCTAATTATTTTCTTAATGATTGCAGTGTCTGTTGTTATGTTGCCTTTTTCATCTTTAATGCTATTAATTCTCACTTTCTCTTGTTTTTTTTTGGTCAATCGGGCCAGTGGAGTGTCTATTTTGTTTATTTTCTCAAAAAACCAACTTTTTGATTTGTTGATTTTATGTATAGTTTTTTTGATTTCTATTTGGTTTATCTCCTCCCT